AAATATCTTGTAATGATATTCATTTATAAAGTAAAAAATAATATATTTCCATCAAGTCTAACTAATTTAACATCATCAAATGTCGACCATCATTTACATAATACCAGAAATAAAGATGACTTCCATTTAATGACCAATAAGTATAACATATGCTACAAATCTGTATTCCATCAAGGGTTGATTGAATATAATAAATTATACTCGGAGATAAAAGACCAGAAAACTTTGACAAAATTTAAAGTAAAATTGAGAAATCACTTGTTAAATCTACAATTATAGGTTGCCCAGCATTTACATCATACACCATATGGTTTGAATTTACTAGTTCTAAGTTGTTTACAATTGTTCTGTTTATGTAGCCAAATGTGCTAAATAAATCTTTCTACTACTACTACATATATAAATTGTCAAATCGTCGTGGAAGACTCTATATAAATGAAATGCAAATAGGAAGAAAAATATCAAGCATAGTATATGTAGATATTTTTTGTCGACATTTTTGTACAATTTCCACCAAACATTTTTTTGAATGTGCCCCTTCGTCCATTTTGAGCTAGGTACGGCCTTGAGACTGTGCATATAGTGAAGGTTCATTGCAGCCACAAAGAATATACAAGAACTTACCTTGATAGTCATCCCATACAGATCAATGACCCCCCACACGGTTTGCGGTACCCTATTCGCTGCCACCCCTTGGTCCAACCCATTCACATAATAATGCAGACTTCCATCCGATCTCCTCACCATAGCCACTCTGTCTCCTTCTGCCAATTCATCCAGATTAAAGTCCCCGTACTCCCTCCTGGTGCCCTTTCCATTGGTGAGAATGCCACAACCGGACATCATGATGGTACCACTGCGCATGTTCGTCATCGTCGCGGGGAATACTAGGGATGAAGGGTTGTGGGTTGTTATGCCCATCTGAAGGAGGGCGAAAAATATGTATGTACCAATTCATCCCATAATATTTTGAAGTCATTTAATATACTTACTTCTATACTACCGCTCCACTTATCCACCAATCTATCGATTCTGATCTCAAACAGCTCATTGTCGCGCAACGGACGATGTGTCATGACCACCCCATTGTTGAATTCATCCAAAGGTCTTCTCCTTTCAGCACTTCTATTTCCATTTGACAGTTTCACTAGGGACCCGCAACGGTCGTGAAAACGCAGGCGGTCTTGTCTGGCACTTTCTTCTGGAAGACTTAAACTGGAACAATAAACTCACATGATTTGGGAGGTCATGACTGTTCCAATAGATTGGTTTAGATTTTATTAACAATGTTGCTACAATAGATAGATAGATAGAATGCTTTATTGTCCTAAGAATACAATCATTCTTAATGACACAGCTGACTTGAAACTGAACAAAATTACATATCTGAAGAAAATGAATTGTAGAGCACACAGTATAATATGGTTTAGAAATAAGAAAGTTTTTAAGTTCATGGAGAAATATCTTTAAATTGATTCTTTTATAATCATGGAGGCACATGTAAATTTTCAGACCATTATAAATGACAGACTCTTTCATCAGTGTTGATTTAGGTACTACTAATTTAAGCTCTTGCTTTCGCTTAATATATTTGATGTCTGAAATTTAGATTTATTTTCAAACATATGAGTTGCTGTTTCTAAAATGAACAATGATAAGACCGTCATTATTTTAAAATTTGAAAATAAAGGTCTGCATGTAACTCTAGGATTGCTTTTAATTATATATCGTTCGTTTTTGTTGAATAAGCAGTTGTTTTAAACAATTTTGTTACAGTCACACCAAAAAGGAAAGCTATATCTCAATCTGCTTTCCAATAAGGCAAAATAACTGCTTAAGGCTGTGCTTATTCTTATGTTGCAACTAATTGTTCTTATAATAAAGTAGTAGTAGCGTAATTGGTCTTCATGATTAGTTAAATTTGATTGTGTCTGTTTTGTCTATCAAATCATTAATTGAATTTACAAAATCAAGGGAGCATAAATTTGGTCTTGATAACATTGAAAGTTAAGTTATTGTTTCAACACCATTTTTTAATTGATCATTGACAATTTTTGACCTAATTTCATTTATATTTGTGTCTTTCCAAACTATTGTGGTATTGACAGCAGAAACTGAATTTACGTAAAAAATAACGTGAGTAAAAAATAAGACCAGATCTAGCACTGACCTTTGAGGTTATTTATCACACAATAGTCCATCTATATAATACACACCTAACATTCATGTCCATTCTTATGTCCAAACTGTTGCTACTGCTCATGCTTAATTCACTCAAATCACCACCTAATGTGACATTTAACACATCATTATCAATGGCTAAGACAGAACTTCCACTTAAGCAGTCATCATTATTATGTTCTCTGAATGCTGAACTTGTTATTGTAACCTGCAAAACATATTTGTTCAACTTACTACCTTAATATTGCTTAATTTGGAAATGGTTGGCATTGAATAAAAAATGTAACATAATCATCAGGTATTATTGAGTTCAGGCTCTGACCATGCAATATGCAGTGTGAACCTGAAACAAGATTGGACCTAACAGATCCTTGTGGCACTTCCAAAAATATCTTTGAAGATAGAATTTATGACAACCAGTCAAGAAAATGTTACAAATTGACTTTTGTCTCTTCCAATGTAAAATGTAAAATCTAATATATAGGCCCATAATGTCTGACAAAGGGTCCAAGGTATTGAAGAATTTCTTTAACAAAGGCTCTGATGAAATGAGGAAATTACCTGTACACATTTTCCATAGAGATCTACTATAGCATACACAGTACTAGGTAGACCTTCAGCTGCTACACCTTGGGACACACCATTTATATAAATTTTCAGATCACCCTACAAAAATACAAATGCTACATTATCTTTAATAGTTATATTAAATCAATAGTCAAATTTACCTCTGATGTCCTCATTAGTCCAATACAATCATCTTGAATCAACCTATCTAGATCTATGCCATATCCTTCTACAAGACAGACACCATTCTTGAAAACAGATGTTCCTGACATAATCTAAGAAAAAAGGAATTACAAATTCTTAAAATTTCAATAACCTGATAACACAATATTGTTGTGTTATTGCAAAACCAGATAATGAGCAAAGTTTTTAGTAATTGGCATTTAAATGTTCAACAACATTACAAAAACATTGTTGGATGATTCTATGTACAATACCTAAACAGACACTTACCCATGAGCCACACTGCACAATTCTTGAAGCACATGGTGGAAAGTCAAAACTTAATGGATCACAATCAACCACACCTATTTCCAAGCTTCCTGACCATGAATTTACCTGAAAATCAAATTCTATCATTTTTGTATTCATATTGTTACACAAGGCTTTCTAAAAGAATCCATATTTTTACATCCTAATATAAGGACAAGCAGGAACAAGTAAGAAGTTCATTCCTATAGCAATACTTAGTGTGTTTGCTCACCATCAATAAAAAAAACTAATAAATTGACCATTTGCACCTTATTTGTTAATAACACATGACTTTCCTTACAAATAGCTAAGAATTCATATATTTCAGATTTTATAATTAATTGAAGATTATACTGCAAAAAACAGTTCTGTCTATCTATCTGGATCTTTTAAACTGAAAGCATCAAAAATTGATTTGCTCATATTATATGCTGGGCCTCTCAATTTTATAAGAAAACATAGTTTTCACCTCTATACAATGGAGAATTAAAAAACAATGATGATAGTTAAAAATTGGTTTTAATGGATCTTTTCATTGGAGTCTCCAATTGGGTTCTCGAGATGCCAGATCAATATTTTATAGTTTGGAACTCAATAGTTATCATTTATGCACATATGCACCTAAACATACAGCATCATATATGAATACAATAACCATAGTGCAATTCTTGTGGTGTAGTGTTTGTACATAAAAAACGCGTCGTACTAAGAACGTCCTCACCTTCTTATCAATCTTTATTTCGAAAGGGACATCGTTTACAAGGGGTTCAGCAGATATCACTAGACCATGGTCGAATTCACTCTCATTTCGTATTGCTGTACAATTATCGTTGGTTAAAGTGATCCTTTCTCCGCAACGGTAATGGAAATAAGCCATTGCTATTCGGCCAAACTGATCACATTATACTAAAAAGAATAGAGATTAAAAAATATTTTCATTGATGGTGTCAAAATCAGTCAAATTAATAGATTTTGTTTATTTCCTTTGACAACAGTGACACCTACGGTGGTTGTCACTTTGACATGGAACAAAAAAATGAGAAACGACTAGTCCACATATTCACAATCTAGATTAAATAGGGCTTACACCATAGAATCAGAGACATCAGTACATCCCAACTAACGGATGAGTCGTTATACCATGGCCGACAAGTGGTCTTCTTTGGGCCGTTGCTTTAGATACTTATTGATACTTTTGTCACCGCAGTTACGTTTTGCGCTAAAAGAAACCTGTAAATGTAACTTTGAAACCTCAAAAAACATTTATCAAGTCACCAATGAAATTGGAGACCGCATCGAGGGCGACCTAATCTAATTTGTCTGTACTCTACAACCCGTCTGTAAGTCACTTATATATATATATATATAATAAAGTTTACATGTAAACTTTATTTTTAGAACGCTTAAATTATTACAAAAGTAATGATACTTGTTGACGGCCGACTAATTTCTAACCACGTTGTCTGCGACCATTGTAGAACGAAGAAGAAACCCTTGGGGGATGAGGTAGCCTATTTATCGTGAAATATATATAGAGCCACTTTTGAGCACTTTTTGATGACCAAATAAAGTAAAGAAACAGAACCATGAGAATTACAAGTGACAACACTCTTATTTCCAAGTATTTGAGTTTGGGAAGAAAGCACACTTTTGACGTTGATATTTTCGAACGCATGGAACATGTACGTCAAACTATTAGGAACGCTATACAGAGTAATACAAAGTATACTTTGTAACAATTTACGAACGCAGCCCCGTTTTAAATTTGTTGTTCTGTGCGCGTCTAATAAGCGATGTTTGTGAATGACGCGACCGTTACAATTCAAAAATACTTAACGGTCAAAATCAAACAGTCAGGTAGACAGTTTTTTCTCTCCGTTGTAAAAAAGTGAAATAATAAAAGAGTCGCGGCACCAGTTTTCCTGAAAATGGCTAGTACGCCCTTTAAAAAACCCCTACCGTGTTCTAGCAGCACAGAAAGTTTACCCACTTCCGAGGATGGAGCTTCAACACAAACTTCGGGAGACACCTATGCAGACATTCCCCTGGTACCCCTTTTCGACGATCTGATGAGGAAAATAGACGCATTAAAGGGTAACAAAACTCACTATTTGGATACCTGCATAAATCTTGCCGAACAGATCAAATTTCTGTTCAGTGAACATAAAATCGCCTTGTTAGAATGTAGGAGGTTGTTGAAGGAACTGGACAACAAAGTGCAAGAAAACAGCGATATTTTGAGGAACCTTCAAAATGCCAGAACTATGTTGGACAATGAAAAAAGAAAACGAAGACAAGCAGAGAAAGAAAGGGACAATTTGAGACACAAGTTTTCAGAGTGGTGTATTTCATTGTTGAGGGATGATGAGAATAGGATCTTAGATAAGTATAGAGAGGAGATGGTAAAGATAAACAACTATGAGGATCAGACATGGAAACATTCCAATGCTGATCATGGACATGAAGATAATCATTTGAGGACTATTCCAGAAATTAACTCTACAGGGTCAATTTTGTCAGATTTGAGCTATTCTAGATCTGAGGTGAGTCACATAAAACTGTAATTGAGTGTACTACGAAAATCCTGAATTCTTGGTTTACATTCTCTATTGCTGTTTTTGTGGTGCATTTTCTTTCAATTCAGCAAGGTTCCACAATATTTAGAATTTTGAATATTGATAGACCATAGATTGAAGCTGTTTGAAAACATGTGCAATTTTGTGCAGTGTAAAAAAGGGTTATTTATGGCTCTAAGGTACCTTTTTCTATTCTTATGCATACACCCATAGTTGAATCATAACTTTTTTCTGTGATAAAAACAAAAAATTGGTTATATGAAAGCTTGATGGAGACATAGGCTTAGTTGTAGTAGTGGTGGAGGTGACCTTTGACCCTTTTTGCAGACCCCATTGTAGCAACACCATAATACTCCTTATCTACTGATATCAGGTAGTTAATTACTGAATAAACCAGCTCAAATGATGCAATATATCCATTTGATGTTGCATCGATTTGGTGCATACACATATAGATAAATACAACATTTGTGGTGTGGTAAGTCATTTTTTATGGCATATACCAAATGATTCAAATTTTACCCTCATCATTAGGATCTTTCAAACAGTAAGAAATACAAAGTCTCTGAAATGGGCGCTAAGTTACATATTAAGGTAATTATCAAACTGCCACAGAGAGAGTTTTGAAATTCAAGATACTTCTAGAGAGAGATGGAAAAAAAAACGGATTTTCCCAAAATCATTTTGATTTTTTCCTGACTTTATTCATAGTGGGATTTCAAAATAAATTGCCCTTTTTCTCATCTACAAAATAGCATAATTAGAATTTCAATATGATATTTCATGTCCTATCCTCCAGCATCAACTTTATTTTTTCTTATTGATGCTATATTGGATTTTTGCACAGATGATTCTGATTCAAAAAATGTATAATATTTCATACACTCATATTACCAAACCTTAGTTATTTTAGAAAAAAACAATTTCCTAAGTAGGCCTTGAAATTATCATATAGTTATTTGTTTCTTATACCAGATTTATTACAAAATCATAATAAGCTGAGTGCTTAACACTGTACACAGAAGAATCAGGCTTTGTGTACAACATTGTTAATGTCTGCTATCTGCTAATAAAACATTCATTTTGTGTTCAGTTTTCAACATACCTTTTTATCTCCTTATAATTTATTTTCCAACCACAAATTTATAGTCAACTAAGGAGATACATCACTGAATCCAGGACTGAAAACTCGATTTAAATGTACAAAACTCCAATATAGTAACCATATGAAAAAAGAAACTTGAAGACATGGAAGTTGAAAGAAGACACCAAGTGAAAATATGTCTATGCCATTTTGTATAATGGTAATAACATTAATTAATAAACAGAGGTAAATCATAGCAAATATTCCCAATGTGGTCCATTATTTTGTAGGCAAAGCCTGACTCTTCTCTATACATTTTCAGTGCTAAGATTATTATGATTTTATGCTAAATCTATGAAACTAATGACTATATGATAATTTCAAGGCCTACCTAGGAAATGCAGTTTCTTTCAAATAACTAAATTACAGACATATTTTCCTTTTCTTGAATCAGAATTAAAAACTTTATTTATCAGTGCAAAGACCCAATATAGCATCTATAAGAAAAATAAAGTTGATCGTGGGGGACAACAGCTGCCATTTTGTACAGGAGAAAAAGTGGCAATGTTAATGTGCAGTTTATTTTCAAATCAGACTATAAATAAAGTCAGGAAAAAATCAAACCGATTTTGGTAAAATTCAGGTTTTTCAATTTCTCTCTCTTTGAATTTCGAAACTTTCTAAGCAGTGTTTTGATAATTACCTAAATATGCAACTTTGCCCCTATTTAAACGACTTCGTATCTCTTAGTGTTTCTCCCATTGGTGAGGGTCGAATTTGAAACACCCTGTATAACATGTTTTAGAGTAAAAAGTTGCCGCTCTAAAATACTATATTTGCTTTATGAAGAAATAGCACTATTTTTAGAATCTTAAAAAACAAAACAAAGCAAAAGATTTTAATCTTCTGTAAGGAACCCCTCTGTCCACATGTAAATTATTTTTTACATAAAATATTTCATTTTAAATTTGCAGCAATTGTTTACAAAAAAGGCTTATCTCTCATGTGCTCGTTTTTTTTTGTTTATATTTTGATAAATAAATGAATTGTGATGGAGCTATGAGTGTACGTTTACATAAGAATAAAATTACAATTTTTTTAGTAGCTTTCATTTAAAAATTGTAAACTCCAAGTATTCTGTGAAAGTCATCTGGTTTTAATTACGTTTTACTTCCTAAGCCACTGGGCTAGAGGAAGTTTTGCAATCGCAAAAAATTTCTAAATTCAGATATGTTTTTTTTGGATATTATGTGACACATGTCACAATGTAACTCATTTCCGTCCGTCTGTCTGTCCACTAATTCTTGGCCCGTTTTTAATTGCTCTGCTTGTACTTTGATGGGCACCACCGCGTTTAACGATGTGGGAAGGGGCAACATTGCCAGATGGACAGTAACTACTGGTAGGGCAGGGAAAGAATGTCTATAGACTAATTGTTTGGGCCCGTTTGACTGACTTGATCAGTTTAATTTTTCTATTGTACATTTCTTTCTCATAGGGCTTAACTTGCGCTGAACTTGAACCTTTATGAACTCATGATGGCGTTGCATAGGAAGTTTGTCGTCAACCCACATCATTTTCTCTGTGAAAATTAGGGATTTTATTTGATGTTTGTAGCTATAGGTTGAACACTGCTTTTAACTGATTCTATCTTTTTTATTTGACAGGATGATTTAGACAGCTCATACTGTAAGACTCAAAAGAAGAGGGAAGCATGGAAGACACTGTACCCTACAACTAAAGAAGAACCAGCTTCTAAAAAGAGGCGTTCATCATCTAATGCAGCAGTAGAGATTGGGCCAAAAGATACTGTAAGAGCCACCACTACATTGACTGTACCAAAGCATGGACCTATCACTGCTACATCTATTATTGAATCATTACCCCAGGTGAGTATGACCAATATGATCCAATTTTTGTTCATTAGTATAGTACATCATGGTTGTTTTGACCTAAAATCCTTTGTGTTTAGAAGCAGTTTCTACAGAATGACATAAAAACTCTTTGAAATTTAAAAAATTGGTTTCGCTTCCAATCACAATGATTTTTAGTAAATCTCTACAGATTTTATTATTATGAAACTCTTGTACATCTGATCACGCAGCTCATGTTTGACTATACAAGATATTCAGAAGTGACTATATACTAAGCAGAATGGAGTTCAGCCCTTTTCACGGTTTTCGGTGGTTATGTCAAAAAGTCATACCAAATAAGTAAACATATCATCATTAAGGCCAAGCTATCAAGGTAACTCGATATATATTGTAGGTTACGAATGAATGATAAATATCGCCATCACGAACAAATGTCCAAACAAAAATAAATTTGAACAAAAAATGCGATCACTACAAGCGATGGTCAATGAATTCATTCAAAAATTATTATCTATCAGGCAACAACGCATTTATTTCCGACTAAGACTTAATAGTTGTCAGAAAAATCTAAAAGCCGTGGACTTTTCAAATTATAGGCTTCAAAGAAATCGATTCGCAAAATCTACGGCCTGTGATGATCTTTTAGTTCCCATTACTATGAATTTTAAATTTTTCTTAGTCAGAGTGATGGACAGTGTCATTCTACGTACTGACAGCAAGACAGATAATAACGCCACTTTTAATAATTCGTGAATGTATGTATCAAATCTTCCGTTATTAACAAATTCAACTGCTTCCGTTAATCTGTCCCGTAGCTCAGTTAAATTTTCGATTGGCTTTGAGTAATTTTTACCTCCCAGTACAAAAAATCGAGAGGATTTAAGTCAGGTGAACGGGCTGGACACGAAATTGTACCAGATCGCCCTAACAATCTACTTGAGTATTCCGCATCAAGATATTTTCTAACTGAACGGCTATAGTACGCCATGCAGCCGTTTTCTAATAAATTTGGTAAATGATTTTGTAAAAAGTGTAAATAAATTTCGCCATTCAAGGACTTTGGCAGCTCAAAAGGTGAAATGATTCTCCCATTTAGAATCCCGGTCCACATGCTTACTTTAAAACGATACTCTGGTCTATCTTGTCTCATCAAATGTGGATTTTCTACATGTCACTCGTGTAAGTTGTGTAGATTCATCTAATGATCTATTTTTAAATGTCGACTCATCAGTCCATACATTTTCCAAAAATCGCGGATCTTCCAGTTGTCACTGTAACATTGTTTAATAAAATTCAACTCTTGGACGATAATCCCGGGGTTGTAGAGATTATACTCGCTGTATGTGGTATGGGTGGAGCTCGTTCTTTCGCTATATTCGGGGGTCTGTACTCTTGGGCACTGCCGTGCGTGCTTCTGTTTGACGTACTGAATTATAGTCGGCTCTTCTTCGACTGCTTGTAGTACGACGACCTCGGAAGGAAAGGAAATTCTTCCTTCACCATATGCTTGATTTGGGATTCGTCCCTCTGAGAGTAAATGGTGTACATTCACAAAAACTCGGAGAATGGGATGACGCCAGGATTTGGGTACCTCTCACCATAAAGCCTAGCTACAGCACTAGCATTGCATCTACACTCCCCATAAATGAGGCGTATTCCTGCATACAGACATGGTGGGGTTACTCAATCCTGAATTAATAAAAGTGGCGTTACTCTCTCTTCTCTTCGTCAAAGAAAAAAGATCATCACAGCGTGTAGATTTTTTAGATTTCTTTCAAACCATGTCATTTTGAAAAGTACACGACTTAGATTTTTTATATTTCATCCTTCGTTCAGATTTGACGTCGACTTCTGGAACATCCAGTTTGATTCACGCATCTACGCCCCGATGCATCAACAAAAACACACTAACTTTTCTCTGGTTTTTTTAAACTTTTCCCTGACCTACATCCCCTCATTCAGTCATAGAATGCACTGTCTTGTCCTTAATAGCGCTTATCAATACACCATAGATCTGGAGGCAGTGGTTAGATTGTAGTGATTGTTACAGGGGCCCCTACATATGAAAAAAAATGGATTAAGTGTTATTCACAATCTCGCCCAAGTTGTTAGGCCATACGCTGAATTAAAAATTCTCAAGCGCTATACCTTAGAGTGTATGGCTAGATAAAAGCAGCATGCTTCATATTTTTAACCCTTTAGATTACAACTCCAACTGTTGAAAGAAGCTTTTCCAAATTAAAAATAATTAAAATACCATAGAACTTCTATGAGGCAAGTTTGACTATCTTATATTGTATACTGTTTTCAGAGACTGAAAATTTTGAAACACTAAAATCGTCTTCCGCTATGGATAGAGAAGAAAAATTCGTAAAAAATAGTGACATGTAGACTAACTCGATACTTCCCTAGCATTCACCTAATCCTATTTTTAAAACTTATTCCTTTTCCAAAAAGATGTTTGACTACCCTTAAACAAATATCCAGAAAGTTGTAAAGCATACCAAAACAAACTTTGAGACGATCTGAAAGCTATTTTAATTTTTACTCATAACACCGCTGCCATTTAAACGATTTTCAAAAATGAAGTAGCATTACATACTATGACCTATGACCACTCTTATAGAAAGTTATCTCTTGCTGATGATCCATTCCCTCTAATAGAAAAATTCCCTCGGGTGCCCGTGTCCAATACGTGACAGTTCATATTATTCATTGCCAGTGCTTATGTTTATTTTGTAAAATCTATACTTCAAATTGTACCGTCCATTTGAGATTCGTCACGATTAGGCGGGCCCTCCCTACAAGTTTTGATATGGGGTCCCTGAGCAGAAAGCTACGCCACTGGATTGTTAGATTGTCTCTTATACAACTGCTACAAATCATTTATATAAACTATTGAAAAAGACTCTTAAACATTTAATCAAATCTATTTTGTGTGATGTTTGGTTTGTGATTTAGATATTGGCATTTTTCCAGGGTGACCAACAAAATGGTGGGCTACCAGTCCCGCCAGACATGGTCTTTGAATCATGGGCTCAGAAAGGAGCAACTCCTAAAGCTACAACAGACATCACTGCAAAAGGCACTCCTCGTTCATATCTTGGGACACCGCATCATACATATAAGGGCACTCCATATGCAGGAACGTACAAGACTCCTAACATGGAGAGCAACAACAATCTGAGGCAACACTGCTTCCAGCAGAAGACGGCTATGGTTCCAGAAACATGTTTAGGTTTGTATTTTTCGACCTTCTTCTTTTTAGTGCAACACCTGTAACTTATCCTGTGGTCTTCATGCCGATAGTAATCCATGATTTTTTTTGCATATGATACCATATACTATGTATAAAACACTTTTTGCTGACGTTTTGACCACCACGATGGCCTTATAAAACGTGTCAATATATTCCAGGTAACAGTTAATTTCTTTTCTTTGCTACTGTACAGCGTAGAAGCAGTTAAGTCCAGGGTCGCCTGGGGTAGATATTATCGCTTCGATAACATGTCTAGCCCCCCAAAGCAACAAGCGCGCATATGAGGTTATTTGTTGTTTTCGAGGAACCAGACACGTCACCTCCGCTGATCGTTCCACAAAACACTAAAGTGAGGCGCAAACCAGAGCGGTGGCGGCCGCAGTGGCGTTAGCGATCGCGATGGCGAGCAAATGAGGTGCATGTAACTAAACCGAAGTGCGCACACCTGCGACGATCTGGCAAACGCGCCTACTCTCTTTGCCGCGTTCTACTGCGGCCAACTTGCGGCTTGCGGTAGAACGCTGCATGCATCATTTGCCCGCATAGTTCGCGCGATATTCTTTCTACCGAGTGTGTGATACCAAAAAACTTATTGAAAATGTACAGGAACATTCCGTCTTGTATGACTTGTCTCACAGTGACTATAAGACTATTGAAACAAGACAAAATATGGGACAAAATTGCTTTATCTATATAGGTGGAACGACGCGTAAGTAGCTACAGTTTATATTTTTATAGATTTTTATTTAGACAAAAAAGTATCACTTATCTAATTATTAAAATATGAAACAAAATTTTCACGTATATGAAACGGTGCGTTTGTTGATCTTCGGACATCGTTTGCAGAATGTTCAAAGACTCCGAGGTCGGGCTGCTATTCATGTTCTTCTAAAAAATTTAAAAACTGGTCACTTTTTTTATGTGCAAGTAACTGTGTAATACACAAATAGCTTTAACAATAATTATTGCTGTTTCAATTTTTACTTCGATTGGTCTAAAAAGCACGCGCCATTTATGAGATAAGATACCAAATGCGTTTTCTACGACATGGCGTGCTCGATACAGACTTTTATTAAATATTTCTTTTCTCATCTATTCTTGACTGGCGGCGAGGGAAAGGTCGCATAAAAAACTCTTTAACTAGAAAGCCTTCATCTCCTATAAGTACACAAGGCGTGAAGTCGACCTGACCCGGCAAAGTTCTGTCTTCGGGCACCTTTGCCTTTCCTAATCATCATCCACTAACAAAGCCAAAAGGCTTCTTCTATATCATGTGCACTCATTGCATACTTAAATTCTGAATACTCTTAAAAGATACTAAATTTGTCGCTGAAAAATCGCATTGGTTTGCGGACATGTAGTCAGCCTGGTGACCGCCACCGCGATCGCTATCGCCACCGCTCTAGTTTTGCGTCCCACTTAAACGTCCTCCGAGAACGCGGAAATCCACCCAGAACTATTGTCGCAACCATACCGCTTGAGTTTAGCAATCTTCGACTACTAATACTACCTCTGCATCTCAAGGCCAAACTCTTGTGTCTTCTATTATATCCACACAAGACAAACAACCCCAGGAGGCTTCGCTGTTTCTAGGGGGTACCGCCTTGAAATTGTAATGACCGTTCATGCTGTTATCGAAATACACTGTATAGCAGCAAGGTCAATAACCAAGAAAAGCAAAAACTTTCATCTGGAAGAGGGGGGAAATAGACCATTGAAATTCGAAATTCTAAAGTTAATATAATTTTATTGTTATTGTGCTGAATGTTGAAAATAAAACTATAAGAATTATCGATGTTCTGAGGTCCCAGAAATTAAAAATGTGCTGAAATCTGGCAAGGTGATAGTTAATACCATACTGTAACATTTATTGACCACATCATTTATTTACAATGCGAGGTACTGAATCTAGGAACCTATCCATCGTAGAGACTTGCGACAAAAACAGTTATTACTAAAACGGCTAAGAGAAAAACCTGGAAAATACATACAAGTTTCTGAAATAGCCGCTAGGGGGCGTAACTACAATCTTGAATCTAAAAAAGTGATGTTTCTGTGTATTCCACTATTTAACCTAACAAAAAATACGTGATCTTTAAAGTGGAGGATAATGTGAACTTTCTTGTTTGACAATTTTTGCTGTATCTCTAAAAATAAAGTGGTGGGGTGGTAGTCAAATGTTCCCGTAAAAAACACCACGTATCTTCGAAATGGCTGAGCCGATTTTAACAAACTTGGGCTAGTTGAAAAGAGCTATTCTTGGGCTACAAATGTTATAATATTCGAAGTTTTGTTAGTTTCATATGTGGCCACTAGAGGGCTTTTTTCGACATTCCGACCAAAATGGTTAATTTTCTCAAAAAATTAAATGCATTGGTATGATTTTTTTTTATGAAAAAGTAGCTAAATGATGTCTAAACAAGCTCGCGAGAACCGCATCTCAATTTCTTGTTCCTAACCTGAAATTTAGCCAAAATAACATTTTTTAAAATCCCTTAAATTTTTATTTTTTTGAACTAATTTTTCTGAAATTTCTTTTTATTATTGGTTGTGGCCCTTAAAAGTACCGATTCAAATAAGAAAGGTTTTTAATACCCCCGTATATGCTCTTCTCTACAAAGTGTTAGCAACTCTGATTGTGTGTGAGAAGTAGAAACTCCCATTGACATCTGCTATCTTAGGTAGACGTGCTTGGTTTTTGGAATGCTAAGTTTCTCAAAATATTTCGTGAACTCTAACCAGTGCATCTTGTAGGCAAATTGTTCGAACCACTGGACCTACAGTTTTTTTTATTACAATAGTAGTGAATCTGAAATGTCCAAACATATCCAAACTCGCCAATCCAAAAAACATAAAATGTTGCTGTGTTCATAATGCGAGCCGTGATCTTATGTGCTTGCGAACTTGCTCGACACAAGCAACAGTTGATGGCTGTGCGATTCCTCCGGCTGCATTGTGTTCGTTTTTTTCTTTCAGGTTGCAACAAGCGCATCAAGTTCAGCAAACGCCTCTCCAAGTGTAAAGATTGCAAATGCGTTTCCCATCCCGAGTGCCAGGACCTGTTGCCGTTGCCTTGCGTTCCCAGCGCTTTCACACCTAACCAGAGAAAAATCATAAGCGGAACGGTGGGGGACTATGCCCCTCTTAACCCGCCTATGGTGCCGGCACTGATCGTGCATTGTCTTACGGAGATTGAGCAGAGAGGGCTCAATGAACTGGGTAAGTTTATTAAACATATTAATTCGACATGGTAATTAGATGATTTTGCCCAGCAGAATTATGTTATTATCTAAGTTTCATTCGTTGTAACAGCGGTTGATAAAAATAGAAATTTTTGCATGCTTAAGTAGCACTTCTGAGAGAACATACTCCTGTGACAGTTGAGGAGCGGGGGGCGCATACGTCCACGATTCAGTTCTAACTACGTAATTTTCGCACCGCAATACATCAGTACGTGCATGTACCATTTTATTGAACAAAATTAGGGATGCACCGAGTACTCGGTTTGTAGCCGGTAATCGGCGTACTCGGTCCATTCTACCCGGCGGGTAATTACTCGGTCTGAACGGCAAGACACAACTTTTTTGAATTGAAGAATTGCAGATGTGATGTGCAAAGTCTGAAATCATGCCTTTTCCAAACTTTCTTTATATGCTCTCCAAAAAATTAATTAACGCACCGTCAAAAAAAAAAAAAAGAAAATGGAAATGAAAGGTTACATATTTCTGCCGGAATCAGTTGCCTGATTTGGACGATTTTTTAGCATGTGAACCGTTTTCACAGTCTATATTTTCGGTATTTGCGGAGCCTATTTTTTATATACAAGGTATACTACTGTTTTTTCATAAAAAAATGGAGCAGCTACTAGAAGAAACTGAAATCACGTTGAAGTATTGTCTATTTGTATATTTTATTTGTTCTTTTATCATTCATATGAACACTTACATAACAACAAAAACCACAAAACGAAATGAAATACAAAGGTCGAAGAGTAACAGGAGTAACGGGTATCCTGCGCTTCTGCAATTAACGAATTGACGTGTCCGAGCGTTTTTCACAAAATATACCAGGTGAGTCACAAATAGGGTGCGACCTGTTCGTAGATACGGTAGCCTTTTATTGGAGTTCAGCTGGTTTTGTGGTCACTTGTCGTTCTGTGGCTCCATGATTTTAAACCTATTTATTTCTTGTCCGGTGTGGGCACAAATACTACTCAAAAAAATAAGGCAGCAAGAAAAAAAAATTGGGTTATTTTCGAAAGTCTGTATTTCAGTGTAGAAAGGTCGTATCTAGACTTTTAAAAAAAGCATTTTTAAGCTTCATGATTCTATTTTTCACGTTTATCAGTCTAAAAATCTCAGGAACAACGGTTCTCATGCAATTCTGACAGCACAAGAAACAAAAATTGCAAAACTTTTGCCTCTTTTTAGTGCACAGGCTTGAACAATTGTTTTTCTGTTAGGCCATATAGATTTTTTTCAGCTTCAATATTCTATTTTTAAAATTCCGAAGCGACCACTTGGCGCGGAGATATCTGACTTTGAATGAAAAAGGATCCTTTTGTCATCGACTATGATATTTCGGTAACAAGTAATCGCAAAGGGAATGCAATATTTTTGTTTCCTTAGTGTTGATCCTAAAAATGTCAAAAACATTTACTTTCTGCCTTGTTTTCGACCGCATTTTTGGGAATTCTAATGAGAAGGCTAATGTTTTTAGGTTTTTTGTACCTCACTGTACCTCTAATAACCCTGCACGTCGGTAGATCGATCCATTATACGTTTTCTCCGAACCGATTGGTAAAAATTTGAAAAAAATCAAAGGAGCAAAAGTTTTGAAACAAAACATCCTGTAATCTGGTTGAAAATGGGAAAACCATTTTTCTTTCTTTTTGTCACTATCGGAGATCTGTATCACCTTCAACCTTCCAAAAAAACAAAAGTACTGACAAGCGGCTGATCTTGAAAATATTAGTAGTTAAAAAAATGCGGTCAATTTTCCAAGAAAAGGCAGAAAGCAACTTTTTTGGACTTTTTTGCGACCACTGTTTACTGAAGTATCAGTAGTCGATGACAAACGGATCCTTTTTCATTCAAAGTCAGATATCTCCGCGCCAAATTCTCGTATCGAGAGTTTAAAAACAGGGTATTGAAGCTGAATAAACGGGCTATCTGATGGCCAAATAGAAAACATTTTTTCAAGTCCGTGGACTAAAAAGAAGGCAAAAAATATTTCTTAAGTAAGTAAATTTTCGGTAAAAAAACTCTTAAACCTTCAAAATGCTTTGTTTAAAGTCTGGGTACGACCATATTTCACCAAAATACATTTTCTCAAAAATCACCGAGAAATTTGAATTTTTCTTGCTCTCTTAATTTTTGTGTCTTACCAAGAAATTTAGCAGGGTTTTGAAATTTTGGAGTTAGCTTCAAAACGTCAAAATCGAAAAAAAAACATGTCATACTATCAGTAATTAGTATTATTAATTTACCTTGGCTTACTTTGGTGAATCTTTTTCCAACCACCCTAATTTGGTACCGCTGTCAAAAATAACGGAAGGTTGATGGTTCGTTATTTTTGTTGCACTAAAAACTCTCTAATTTCCTAAGGTCTATATCGCATCCCCGGCTCTGAGAAAGACGTCCGCGACCTAAAGGACCGTTTCCTGAACGGCAAGGGCTCCCCGAACCTAAAAGACCTAGACATCCATGTACTATGCAGCTGCGTGAAGGATTTTCTACGGTCACTGTCAGAACCCTTGGTCACTCACCATCTGTGGAAGGAGTTCGCACAAGCGGTAACTGCCAGAGATGAAAGAGATGTGCTGCCTGCGTTGTATCATGTGCTAGGGCAGTTGCCGAGGCCAAATAGGGATACGTTAGCGTTTCTCATGCTGCACTTGCAAAAGGTAAGGTCTTTCTCGAAGGTTACAGATTTTTTTTTAAACAGTAAGGTTGACGGGTCATGGTAGTGTATCTCAGGGAATTTGCATGTGGGTGTACTTAGATAAATGGTGTTTCACTAGATATTTTGGTATATAAACGTTAGATTTTCAAAACGAACATTACCACAAATATGGATATTTCGTGACCTCAATAGGAAATATGTATGATTTTGTTTGTATTTCCTATTATATGGGTTAATGTAATACAATAAACACATATTTCATTCAGGGAAAGTCTACATACAGGGTGTGGCGTAAAGAGTGGATAACATTTAACCTGTAGTTAGAGGACATCATAAAGATTAAAAAATTGAGAATTGTGTCTAGTAAACGTTGCACGGTTTTCAATTTTTGTGATATTTTTCAAATTATTAGGAAATGTGCACCTTGACCCACTGTTTCAAGTCTCGTGATAATACATGAAGGGTTTTTCTCATTCTTCAACATACACGTGTCATAAATTATAAATTGCCATTTTCGTGCTACAGGTTTAATTGCTTTTTTATTGCTTTTTTAAAAAATCATTAAAACTCGAAAAAACATTTCAAGTTTGATCACGTGTGGTGTCAATAATAGTGCGGTAACCTAGAGAAACAAGACGTGAATAATTTTTTTACAAAACGTATTAGTAATGTTGCAGTTTAAATCTACCAGATGGATAAGAATTTAACCCAAGATACTAACTTTATGGTGTATGAATTCATTAAAATAAGAAAATAGAACAGAAAACTCGCTAGATATAAAGATATTATTAGAAGTTACACTAAGTGCTTAAAATGACCACCACGAGTTCTAATACACGCTCTGCATCTTCTTATAAATGACTGTTTGATTTTTGCGCGTGTATCCGGCTTCGCTGATTCCTCTTGCAGCTGCTTATATCCGCCCACGTAGTTCTTCCACTGAAGTAATAGGCTCCTTGTAGACTTTCTCCTAAAGATACCCCCAGTGAAAAAAGTCGAGAGGGTTGAGGTGTGGTGACCTTGGTGGCCACAAACTTGCTTCCAAGCACTTCCACGATACTATCTTCTAACATTTGCATTTTGTATGGTCATGTTACGGAGAATAGCCAATCCTGATTTTTTTCGACCAGATCTTGTGGAGTGACGAGTCAACTTGTATAAAAGATGGATGTGTAAATATTCGTAACTTACACAGTTGGCAGCTCAACAATCCCCATTTAGTAAATAAATAATAATAATAATAATAATAATGATAATAATAATAATAATAATAATAATAATAATAATAATAAAATAAATCTTTGGACTGGAATTTTAAACGGACAAATTATAGGGCCATTTGAATTACCACCGACGTTGACTGCAGAGAGCTACTTAAGTTTTTTAAGTAATGATCTCCTGACATTACTTGAAAATGTTCCACTAGAGAAAGAATGAGAATGTGGCTGTAGCACGATAGTTACCCCCCGCATTATGCCCAAAATGTGGGAGATTATCTCAGCTTGATGTATCACCGGAGGTGGATCGGGCTGAGGAAGAAACTTTTCAGTATAGGTATTAGAGACTTCTTGCTGGACTGGCTAGTGTCTTTCCTGACAGACAGGGAACTTAGAGAAAGAGTGAACGATGCGCAGTCAGCTACCTGACCTATAAATCTGGCTCAGGGATCTGTATTGGCATGACTTCTTTTCATCCTGTTTATAAACGATCTGAAGCTCTCAGGTGCAGTGGTGAACTACACTGATGGCACATCGGCCGTAGTAACTGCAGATTCGCCTGAAGATCGGTACCTTAATATTGGAGTCATAAAATCTTGAATTTTGATAAGACGGTAGTTGTTCACTTTTACTCTAGTAGTAGTCTTATTAACAGTACTCTACGATCTTCCTGGATATTGAGTTGGATGCAGGATTAAATTGGAAGCAACAAGTTGACAGTGTATGCAGGAAACTGAATAGGTCCTGCTATACTATCTTGAAATTAAAGCAAAATGGTCCACAAATTAACGCTGATAGATGTGAACTACGCAATGGTGTATTCGCATTTGTCGTGTCGTAAGGCTGATATTTAACTTTAAAAGGAGAGAGTCATGCAAAGCAATATTTCAGCATAATAACTTGCAAACGCTTCCGAGTATACAGGGTGTCCGCAAAGTTGGGGTTTTCCTTTACACGACGTGTAGATCTTGAAAACATAAGCAACTTTTCTTAGTATCATATACACCAATGTCTTAAGGGAACCGAGATACAGGGCTCTGCGACATCAAAAATATCTGAATACCGTCCTGTAGCCGCGACTTGCGATATCCCCAACTGGTACCGGCTACTAGCTCAACCCGACTACAGAACTGGGTCGGGGGTCGGGGTCAGTGTGTCAGGTCAGTATGCAACGTCCAACCGACGGTTACGGTCACGCCTGTAGAGGTAAACGAACTCGTATAATAGATTGCGTTTCAAAAAACAACAAGCACTAGAGACGTGGCTAGAGAAGTGCAAGTATCAAAAACTAAAGTGTGCCAAACGCTGCGTGAAGAGGGGCTGTATCCGTTTCACGTCCAACGTGTACAAGCCCTTCAACCTGATGATTTTCCAGCAAGAGTGCGGTTTTGTGAGTGGTTGTTGCATCAACATGACAATAATCCGGACTTTTTGAAGTGCATATTGGTGACAGACGAATCTACGTTCACGCGTAATGAATAACTTTCGCTACACTCATGTTTGGTCAGTAGAAAATCCGCACGCTGTCCGTCGGGCACATTTTCAACAAACATTTTCGGTGAATGTTTGGGCTGGCATGGTGAACGGTATGCTCATCAGCTGATCTCATTTTCTGTTGGAGCGGTATGATTTCGGACAGAGACGTACTTAGCCCTTCTCGTCAACTGGAGAGTGCGTACTTTTTCCTTTATTTTTTTTTAGTTGGTCGCCCTCGTTTCACTACACATTACCTTTGTTATTTCAAGGGTAGTTGATTCTGAAACGGAAAACCCCAACTTTGCGGACACCCTATATATATTTATAAATGCGCCCTCTACACCTTCAATCACATGGGCCAGTTTCTGCAGAACCAGGACTTAAACACGAACTACAACACTAGAGCAAAACAGGACTTGAGTACCTTTGCATACACTGTAAATGTTCGAAAAATCACCAGCCTACGCCAGGACCAAGTTGCCATCAATACTAAAAGATATTAGATGCCCAAATAGGTTCAACAAAGAGCTGAGGAATCTAGTAATAGAAAAATGATACTATTCAGTAGCTGAGTTTCTTTCACCGTAAGAGTGATGCACCTAAAATTAAATAGGAAACCAAGGCTGTAATATATTTTTAAATCCGGTAGACAATGATGTACTTATAGAGATATATCTGACGAGTGTTATATCATACATATGATCTATCTATCTATATAGAAATTTTGCCACTACAACCCGATACAAATACTCTGAGTCTTCTTGACTTTTTCTGTCAACTGCATAGTTTAAAATAAATCACAAAAAAACGTATAAACTAATAATGTGAGATTTTGGACTTTTAGGTTGCAGAATCTCCGGAGTGCAAAATGCCTTTGGAAAATCTGGTGCGCGTATTTGGACCTACCCTTATGAGATATAGCAGCGACGACCAAAATCTGGGAAAATGCATGGAAGAGACCGAAATGGGCTTCAAGGTAGGGAAATCAGAAATAATTTCAAAATTACAAAAACTTGAATGGCAAAAGTTGTCACAATGAACTAGACCCAGATTACTGGTACTACTGGCAACTACTTTATATTACGACCTGTGGCATCGCCGGATGATGAAAGCGATTCCAACTAAGCCACTGTAAGTGATCCTCACCCGCGCCGTCTATTATCAGAATGAATTATCATACACCACACTTTCATACTCATTGCTCCCAATTACCTCTGAATTTTAAACATAAGTTTTCCACCGTTATTCTGAAATCTCTAAAACAAGGGAAATTTGTTAATAGATCTTTAATTTTTTGAATATGAAAAGGCTAGTTTCCTATTAAAATTCAATTCGCAGCTATTAAATTATATACGTTTGCAATCGATTTCAATGTTACATGTGCTTGCATTTCTAATTCTTCAGTATTAGTACTGAAACATTACCATTTGAACTCTGCACGTCCAACGCTCTCTTCCAGTATGAGACGTTATCATCATCATTTCCAACTACAGGCGTTCGTAACGGCCATTTTCCGGGACCTCCATCAATTTTTAATACTAGACAGCTATCCTTCGAACTATTCGGAGAAATCCGTATTCTACTGAGGTCGTAATGGGTTCGAGTGAGAAGCGCGAGAAACATGCAATATGTATGCTAGAATATATCAATGTATCGTCCGCAAATATTTGAATTTTGCAGTGTTCTAAAATGTCAGAGCTATCATTCATATATAATGTAATTTACTCCCCTGTGATATATTTTGAACGGTTGACATAATACTTCCAATTTTAGTTTTTTGATTTCTATTTACTTAGTTTTGCAAAATGTTCAATACCGATCCTTTAAAATCATAGTGATGTAACAATTTTTCCCTCTTTATAGTCTCAAATGCCCTTTTGAAATCTAAAAATACAGTTACAATACATTCTTTCCCATTTATATAGGGTGTTCCATCCATTCCTTCTTTTTTTAATAAAAAAAAAACACACTTTTTGAGTGAGAAACCGAACTCTTTATTGAAAATGGTAGTTCGGTCTTTGCCATTTATGTATGGAATATAACATCGCACATTATGTCCACCGCGACTCCGCTGACATACCATCATCCAAACATCAAAATTTTCGATGACTTTTTGCAGTATTAGCGGATCCATGGCATCAATACCTTCCAATTTCGGCCAAAAAGAAATCCGTTATCATACCACGATAACGTTCGGCGGTGACCGTAACGGCTTTTTTTCTTCATCGTCGAAAAAAAAAAACGGTCCAATGATGCCACGAGCCCATAATCCGCACCAAACAGTTTTTTGATCATGGAGAGGTTGCTCATGGATCTCGTGTGGATTTTCCAAACACCAAATCCTACAGTTTTATTTACGTGGCCACTGAGGTATAGTACAAATGTGCCTCGTCTGCAAAGATGATTTTAGCCGAAAATCCCTCTCCTTTTTCAAGCATCCAATTAATAAAAATACGCCGTTGCTGATGATCCGCTGGCTTCAATTGTTGAGTTATTAGGATTTTGTATGGGTGTAGGTGGAGATCAACATGCAAAATCCTCCATAATGTTGTTGGCCTGATGTCCAATTCTTGAGAACGGTGTCTTATCGAAGTTGATGCCTGTTCACGAACACTTTCACTCACAGCGGCCACTGATTCACGTGTACGTACCGGACGGGCATGTTGAAATTTTCTACGACCTTTAACTGAGACAGTGTCCTCAAAACTATTGATAATCCACCGAATTCCACGCTCTGTGGGACGATTATGTCGACCAAATTCTTAACGAAGTTTGCGAAAAGTATTTTTTAAAGATCGTCCGTTTTCGTAAAATTATTGGACGACTAAAATGCGTTCTTGCTTTGTTAAAGAATCCATAGTAACAAATGGCAGACCTTTGACAGTTCATATGTGCTAAACACATGGCAGTTGACACATTTAACATGTCCAAAAATGGTAGTTGAAATAAAGCAATAGATGGAACACCCTTTACTTCTTCTCCAGTCTTCTACCATCATTTGGATTGCTGTTTCTGTAGAATATTTTTTTCTAAATCTAGCTAGATATTTTGTCACAATTTTGTTTTCTTAAATGAATTCAATGATTTGTTCGAACAGCTGTTCGACATCTGGCAAGAAATTAATCGGACGCAAATTTGTATATAGTTCAGAATGTTTAAGTTTTGGCACAGGAGTAATGGTGGAACACGTTAATTTTGATGGAAGTTCGCCATATACTAAACAATAATTCAACAATACTAATAATGTCTCTCGAATTATATTGAAACAATCATTTAGAATCTTTTTTGAGAGTTTCTCACTAGGATTTTTATTAGATTTCAATACCGAGAGAGCTTTTCTCACTTTTTTGCTAGAAGCAGGGAAGTTATGAATACTTCTTACTGACCCTGAAATCAGCTCACCTTTGTGACAGGTATCGCCAATCATCACCAAATTTGATTGCCGAGCTAGAAAAATTGACCGACTTTGCTTCCATAGCTTTTTGTAAGAGACGAGTGATATTATTTGTTCTAGGTGGTGGAGAGGATGATTCAAATGCCTACAGATTATTGGCTAAGTTTTGTGAATGTAAACACAAACGATGCACCTGGTAAGTTACAGCAGACCCCGAGCACAGATTCGTTACTCAGGCCTAACACGGGCAAATTTTTAACACCCAGAAGAGCCAAGAGGCTTAGAGAACACAAGAATAAGTTTTCTACGCCTCCGTTTATGAAGTAATTGCGACATTTATTCGTTATCGTACAGGTAATATGTAAACGATAGCCTAACTGATATAACCGATTAAGCGGGAAGTTATGATGAAATCATTGAATTTATTTACTGCTACCGATCTACCACATCAATAAAGTGTATATTTATAGATTCATACAATTGCCTCGAAACTGTACCAACAACAATAAAGTAGCACTAGTGCCTATGTTGAACTTTTATTTCTTGTTGCGGAATGGTTTACAGTCGGGAAACAATCACAATAGTGTTTTTTATGCTACCGACTATGAAATTTCGATAGTGGTTACTTTGGCAAGTAACATATAGCAAAGGTGTATAAAATAGTACATCAGGTCCGTTAAAGAATAAGTCCAGTTTTCTATATTTTCTTCAAAATGATATTAGAGATGACATCTATAGCCAGACAGTACTGTTTCAACCACCTCTGTCAGACACCCTTAAACTTTAATAAATTGGAGTTGGACTTTCGTCATAGTAAAGCTGAGATTTATACTGAGTGTCCAGGAACAAATTTCCCTTTTCAAAGGATATTAAAAAATTGTCTTGAAGTTTTAAAATTAATTTATTGAAGCAAAAATACACACAGTATAGCCCCTTTTCAAGTTTTAAAAATTATATTGTCGAGGTGCCATTCCGGTCGAAATACTCCTGCAATGCCATCTTCATGTGGTAAAAAACTGCTACGCATAATTCAGGTGTAATTGCTCGAATTTCTTCCCGTATTTTTTGTTTCAATTCTTGCAAATTCCTAGGCCGATTAACATAAACTTTACTTTAAAGGTATCTCTACAAAAAAATGTCACATGGGGTGAGATCTGGAGACCTCGCTGGCCAGTTTAGATCTCCAAAGCGAGAGATGACCTTTTCAGGGAATAATTCCCGAAGCATTGCACAATAACGATCACTAGTCACAGTCTAGGCTATGCTACGTTGGTTCTCAAAAAAGAACGGACCGATAATTCCTAAAGCCGACATTGCATACCACACAGTTACTTTTGGGCTATGTAGGGGCTTTTCGTGTTTTTGCCTTGGATTCTCTGGTGCCCAATAGCGACAATTTTGCTTATTAACTGCGGGTGAAAGTGCGTGTCGTCACTGAACAGAATAATGTTAATTCGGCCGTTTGCAAAAAAAAAGGTACGACGGTTTGTAAAGTCATTTGGGTTTAATTTTTGCACTATTTGAATGAAGCTTTAAATCTCTCCTTAAATTAGTGTGAAAAGATTCTTTACGCAAACCTGTGAGGTTTTACGAACAGATCGACTTGGATTTTGAATTAGAGCGGCGCGTACAGCTTCAACATTCTCAGGAGTAGTTACAGTCCTTAGTCGACCAGGGCGTTTCACATTTAAAGCTGACAATTTTCTCTAAACCTCTTCACCAACGATTTCACTAAATTTTTACTTGGTGCGTCCTCCACACGCTAATATTGAAGTGAGCACAAAACATTCGTCTTGCAATTGAGTACGAGTCATTGTTCTTCAAAATATGCCTCAATAATTTCAACTAAATAATCCGCATGGATTCACAAAAAAGGGAAATGTATTCCTGGATATCTTGTATATGTTACTTGGGGGACTATCAAAAGACTGTACCCCAGTAGCAAGCTTGTTTTAATGGGTTTTATTTTGAGCGAGTCACATTGCAAGCCTGCAATTTACGAGTATATGCTGAATAGTGTCTTTCGAATTTATCAAAAAATATCATTGCATCGAATTATTTATGATTAAAGACATTTATCCAATAAAATACTCATGTTAGAAAATCCATAAAAATCCAACAAATGAAGGATTTTGTCAACTTTCCTAAAATCAGTTGGTGAGTTTGTCTGTTGAATATAACTTTTAACACTGTTATTGCTCTATTTATTTATTTCCGCTCCACAAAAAACATCGTATAGGAATTTTCATACATTTTCAAATCTAAAAAAACCTATATCTAACAAAAAACAGTCAAATAGTAAAAAATTAAGATTTATCGGCATATACCACAATATCCTTTCACACTATGAAAGCTATTTTCAATTAAATACTTTTTTAAGAGATTCTTAAATGTCTTTAGACTGTGGCAATTCTTTATTTCCAAAAGAAGTAGGTTAAACATTTTTAGGCCATTAATATTTAGGGACTTACACATAATTTGAGTTCTATAGGTAGAACTGCCGTCTTTGGTCCTACGTTCCAAGAAGTTTCACATGTCTATTTTTCTGTCTCTGAGCAGTTTTTCGTTTACTTGGAAATCATTCACCGACGCTATTATATTCCAACGCCTTTGCCCTTCAGTGTTTCATTTTGCCTATATTGCGTCAGTTAATAAAGGTACTAGTTAGTTGTTCTATGCTTATATACTTGGATTGTTTGGCAATGATCTGGAACTAATAGTAAGGTTATACATTTATTTCTATATTTATTTGGACTTAAGTTGTATCAAAATAATCTATGTGATGTTGGTAATCATATCCAGGGTATCCTGAAAATTGGGACTTGGCTTTTCAAAAACTGTCGTTTTGAAATAACAAAGCTAATTTGCTGTAAAACATCAGCAAAAACGTAAAAAGGATATTGAAGAAAAGTACTCATTGTTCGTTTGATTAGCAATTAGAAGTTCTGCCCTGTCACATGTTTTATTCATAAATACTCTTGTTGTTTCAACTCGATTCAAACACACAAAGGACCGGGTACAAAACATATGGAAAATGTGTTTCAGTCGATTTGTCTAAGAATTCAGTTTGATATATGTCTTGCCTTCTCGAAGAAAAGTGTCCTTGGAACCTAAGCAATCCTATGATTAGTTTCTGAGAAATAGGTGGATAAAGTTTGCCTTGTTTACAAAAAAAAAAAAAATGGTGAATGTGCCGATTGTAGGTCTCAGACCAAAAACTCGGAGAATCAGTATACTTAAAGAGATATCTTTTATTAAAATAGCTTGTAGGAAGGTGTTGAGAGGTGTCAGGCTGACCATGATCCTTACAAGTTCAGTTTCAGGGCAAGTTTTTATATGTCTATGCTGGAATATATCTGGAACGAGTTGCTCGAGAAACTTCAAGAACTGGTAGCTTAGTTGATGTAGTACGTTTAACGAATTTGAAAATCTACAAAGATTACCGTTGAATAAAAGCTTACGCTTTCATTTGACCTTGTAAATTACTAATCAAAGACAAGGAAACAACCACGACTTTTCTGTCCCCTTGGAAAGCTACCTGTCCTATTGATTTTTCTGAATTCTAGAGCAACTCATGCTAGATCTATTTCAGCATAAACATATGAAAATCAACTTGCCTTGTAAGGATCATGCTTACGATCAACATGACTCCCCACTCCTTCCTACAAGGTGTTTTAATAAAATATTTCTTTTAGTATATTAATTCTCCGTGTCTTTGATCTTACAACAATAGGCAGATTTGGACCTATGGACACTTTTGTTCGGGAAGGCAAGAAATATATCATACTGAATTTTTAGACAAATCGACTGGGACCCATTTTCCATATGTTTTGTGCCTGGTCCTTTGTGAGCTTCTTCCTTAATTTGCAACATTTCGGGGAGTCTTGGGCCTTTTACTCAACGGCCTTTGTACGATGTAAATATACTCGCAAAGTATCAGTAAACCTTTGGAGACACCATAAACTAACATTCAATCTATAACTTCGTTAATGCTATGGGAAGGTGCCGATTTTGGGTTTTTAAATCTGTAAATAAGCTAGGTTAACCTACACACCGCGCGGCGCCTGAGACTGATGCACATCGTACCACAAAACATGTTACTTTTTCATGTAGCATTCTGGATTGGGATGGACCATTCTGTGTTTTTCTGAACTCAATGTCTTGCTATAAAAACTTGCTTGTAAAGGAAAGTCCCAACTTTTCGAATACCCTGTATTTTATGTACTTAAAAAACACGGTTTACGTTTTCTAAGTGTATTTTACAACAAATATGTTTGAAATGAAGAAAGCGACAAGAATGAATGTATGTGATAAAGCGATTGTGTGTACGCGTTTATTTAGTAGTTTTTTATATATTTTTTTTTGTTTAATTTCATTCTATCCAACATGAACAATTTTGAGCCAGTATGTTATTTATGCTTGAATAAAAGTTTTAAAATTATATTGCATTTTGAATTATTTTAACTCTGCTAAGTAGGTATTGATTTAGAACGCTTAAGAGACGTACTGACGTATTATAGGTTTACAGGGTACTTGTCCACCTAAGTACATTTGACTGATAGTGCTGGCGACAACACGGCACTCTTTACTATTGCCAAAATGTATTTGTGGGTAGAAACGTTGGTCAAGAGTATGGCAAACATCTGTTTTTAAACATACGGGTTTTAACCTGAGGCTTATTATAAATTGAACAATTCACACATATGGGAAACTAGAGTATTCTTTCCCGAAGGTTTTTATTTGCTGACTCCGATTTCGTATTCAATTCGTTCTAGTTTCCGATTTATCCTAATCTTGAAGTGCAAAAATAGTGCGTTTTACCATATTTGATTTTAAAGGCCGGTCCAGACGCTACGTTTTGCAGAAACTTTTGTCTGCACAGTCTTGCAATTTTTAGAACGTCTACAGGGTACAGAGATATGTATATTTCGCTCAGTTTTGTGTAATATCGTCATGGAAGAGGTACTCTGGTCAATTTTGGCATGGTGTCTAGTTAAAAAAAAGATTGGAATGCCTCAGAAGTACCCGGACTTCAAAGTGGTCGCGTATGTGCAGCTGCATCAATTTCTTTGAATTTTTCCACTAAACTCTCATAAGCCTGCCTCTTTAAATCCATGTCACTATACCCTTGGATTTGACACGCCAAAAGCATGAGAAACTTTCGTATAATGCAATAAATTCTGTGAGAAGCTCCCGAGAACATTGCCGGAGGTTGGCCATTGTCGCCTGACGAATTGAAACTGAGAACAAAATGAATCGGGAAACGGTGCTACCGTCTACATGCGCCGACTTGTCCGAACAGTTAATGGACATCTATGTTCTTTCGCTCAGTTATCGCTGCAACTGTATCGTCTTCACTCCGGATTCAAAACTGCGCTCTTTCCCAATCTACACGCAACGTTTTATCTGCATCGTGTTGAAGTGTGCAGATAAAAGGATGTGCGGAACGTAGCGTCTGGAGTGGTCTTTATATAGCATGGCGAATTATTTATGTAGTAAGTACAAGCCTTGCCTCTTCAAATGCCGTTGACTTTGATTAATTTTTTTTTCGCTGAGATATGGCACACTGAAACTTCCATTTTTCTTATTTAATACCCCACAGGTTATGACTACGTGTGTATTAAAGTTGTGGTTTGGATTGTAATACACCAAAAATTTAATAAGTTAATGTATTTCTATGAAATAAGACATGCCATCTAAAAAACCCATAAATCCTCAACACAAAATGTATAAAATATCTAAAAATCACCGAAACCACAAGCCAACAACCCACCCCCAATAGCATTAGGTATTTATTAAATATTTTTAAAAGACGTTTGTTAAATATTTGTAGCGACAGATTTTTTAATATTTAATAATATATTATATATTTATAAAATATTCATTACAAATATTTGTAGTATATATATAATTCATATATTTTTGCGTTATTTTGTCCAAATACCTACTTAGAAAATATATGAGGAAAGATTTTTAAATATCAATTTTATATTTTGATGAAATATCTAATATTTTTCGTAAATATATGTATGTATTTTCAAGCATTAATCTGATACATATTTTCAGTGTATATAGAAAATTTTTCATTGGTTATTTTAGCAAAATATGTAGGAATGCTTATATAAAATTGGGTTTATAAAGAAAATTCATTCTAGATATAATGGTTTAATTTGCCAGAAAAATTTTATTAGAAAAACATTCTAAGCCTCTTCTGCATCTTGCAAGTCCATTCCTCTAAAAAAAAACACGTACTAATTATGAAGTATTATTGAATACATGAGCTGCTTTCCAGTGTATTTATTAGTACTGAGCATGGCGAGTTACTTCGAGTAGCTCAACTGGGTCATTGAAAAGCAGCTCTATAATGTACCTAAAAAGACCCCACATTTTATGCCTATGATAGTTCGAGATTTGGTTAACTTAGGCCTGTATCATCAGTCGTCCCTACAATTGTAGGGCGCGTTTATGGCCTCCTTGATTGTCATACTCCTTTCTCTCCTTCAAAAAGTTCTAGATTACACTTGTCCCGTGTCAGCGCCAGCGCTCTCCTATTGTGAAGATATGTTTTCTTTTTAAATTGTAGGAAATTTCAGGCTGACAAAACATGATATAACTCAAAAGCAAACACAATTTGATGCAAATAGATGTTTGCGACATAACCTCAAAATAGAGTTCTGACACGGAGAAGTAGAAAACTATGACAATCAAGGAGGCCATAAAGGCGCCCTACAATTGTAGGGACGACTGACGATACGGGCCTTAGCCATAACTATTTAGTGATCATTGGGATGTTATGAACATAATTTTCGTATCAATTCTCAGATAAAACCACCAATACCAAATAAATGTTATCTATACTTCAAGGCTAGTTATTTATGGTCTTGTGAATACCTTTATACTCAGCTGGCACAATAATGTTTACTAGTCAGATAAATTAAGCTATGTAATTATCGAAAAACTTACCCTTTTCCCTTGACCACAAAAAACACTCAAATAATGAACCACTTGGAGGAACACAGGAAGCACGCTATCATAGTGAAAGTCACAGGTAAAATGACTGCCGGCAACGGGTCGCCTCAGGCCAGCTAGCTATTATCCCATTGGTCGCTCGAGGTCACATGCACATTCGCCGTAGCCGAAAATATTTGATGAATATTTTCCAAATATTGGAGATTTAATATTTTCTATTGATTGAAAAGTAAATATTTAATGAACATTATAAAAGAAATATTGTATTTAAAATATTTAAAAGATATTGAGTAAATATTTAAAAAAAATATTATATTACAAATATTTATTAAAGAAAACAAATATTTAAGTAAGATAAAACTATTATCAAATATTGAATATTTAATGAATATTTCGGGCTATCGGGGACCCTACCCTATCCAGGCTGAATTAAAAGTTCTTACTTCCGATACAGATTATAGAAGTACTCTGTGCTGTCGATTGAACGCGTTATATAAGGGTTATCAGGTTCTTACAATTGTTTATTAATAAAAACATCATTTATAATATAAATATTTCACCATATAACAAACATCACACTTCATAATATATACATATAGGTAGAGTCATCTAAGTACACGCCCCAGATCCTTAACCTTCAAATCCATTACAAAACCACATTCACGATCGCTCCATGTCAAATTTCAAGCAGTCTTAAAAAAATATCAGTTTTTCCCAACAAGGAATTTCTGACTATCAGACTGTCAGACACAATCATACAAACAAGTTGATGACATTATGTTACCTAGTTACAAGTTGAACTGATCTGGTAATAGTGTGAATGACGGTTTGGGGCTGTCAGAAATTCGTTGTTAGTAAGAACTCTATCTACGAACGTATAGTTGTTATGGTTTTTGACAGTTACGTCACAATGTCATATGAAATAAATAAACGGATTGACTTCACTCAGGAAAATTGCACATTGCACAAGCCGATCCACACTACAGCTGCTACTTGCTCCTGTACACGCAAATGAATTGGGTCATAGAGGACAGTTAGTTTCACTTACTTTCTGCGAATACCTCTAATTCAGACTGTCGACATTGTACCTTTAGTTTTTTCTATCGAAGATCAACATTTCGGCATACCCAAATCAAACGCCCATGTCAAGCAAGTTGTCATACCAAAGTATAAATGTGAAAGGTTCATAAACGTTAATGAGAAACTGTTCATGGTGGTAGGACAAAACTAAAAAACCGTATGTCTGAGTTTACACAAACTCACGTCCGCGCATAGAGGCCCATTACAGGTATGCTTGAGGGAGATGGATGAAAGTAATTCCTGTAGTTTTACTGTGACCCGCCAAAAAGAAAAACCGTAAAAATATCTATATCCCCTCAAAATCGCTTGGGGCATAGTGGGTGACCAAATTAATATTGAATCAGTTCAAAATTGTAATGGAGCCCACATGGATGGAATCTAAAATGGAGTAACATTGCATGGGGCCATTTAGACCGACCGAGAATGTTATTTATAACGTTTTCCACAGGTATGCATTTTTGCACTATTTACTCCCTTTCTTATCACAGTGTCGTGCTGGGCTCAATTTACTCTGTCATCCTGTTCCATTGCAAAGTATTTCGTATTAAGTGTGTTTCTCACGCACGAAGAAATATTGCAATGGGCGGTGAGACATTGAGTCATACCATCACAATGTTTACTAATTTGGACTACTTATCTAACTTTTGCATGGTGCTTCTCTCTCAAAATCTCGATTGTAACAGAAAGCGTGAGATCAGATTTATGATCAGTAGGACAAATACATTAATCGTATAAGATGTCAGAGAATTGACTACTGTACTGCTTTTCTTCCTAATTTTCGTGACATCGTACCTACAGCGATACCAGCGTTGCAAGAATCACAAGTGCGGAAATGCATCAGCGCATACCAGTGGAAAACTATTAGAAGCAATCAACATCCTGTATCCTCCCAAATAGTCTTAAGTTTCCGTCTAAGTATCTTTCCTGTAGGATTCTTGGGAATCTCCCCTACTACAGAAACACCGCCCTTTAGTTGTTTGTACTTCGCCACCTTGCCAGCAACATAGCTTTTTACTGCTTCAGGATCGACGGTTTTGCCCTTCTTGGGTACCACGTAGGCCCGAGGTACCTCCCCGTCAGTGGGGTGTGGGATTCCTATGACTGCTGCATCTTCTACCTCAGGGATGTCACGGATTATTTCTTCTAGTTCTGCGGGAGGTACTTGGTAGCCTTTCACCTGGAACATTTAGGAGATCTAGTGTAAATTACAGGAAACATTTAACGTTAAAGATTATCGTAAACAGCCTACAAGGGGGTTTTCTATAAAAAAGTATTAGTAGTAGTAGTAGCAACCTTTAGTTAGAAAGTCCTAATTTACAACGGCAACAAGCAAAAATTGGTGGCTCAAAACAGCTCACAATAAAAAAACAATTTCAACTAAATCTAATTATATTAAATCCTCTCATGTGCTTTGTTGAAATGACCGACAGTCTGATTTGATAACTTATTATATTCCCTCAAACCTTTGTACATGATTGTTTTCATTATGCACACTTTATTGGTTTTTATTAAATGAAAATGCGAGTAGAACTTGGTACTGATGTAATATGTATGAATTTCTCTGTTTTTTCGCAGGAGGGCAGTTAAACAATGTAATCGCCGCCTGCCGTTAAAATTTAGGTTTCTGTCTAATATAAATCCTAGATATTTTATGTTGTTAACTATACCAAGGACTGTATTTTCAACTTTGATTTGGATGTTAACTTGTAATATATTCATGTTTTTGTTTCTATTTGATATGATCATTGCTTTTGATTTTTTGCATTCAGCTTCGATTTATTGATTTTTAGATAAGCTTCAATATTTTCATGATCACGGTTCACCATGTCAACACCCTGATCCAGGTTTTTGCAGAATGAATACACCAACGTGTCATCAGCAAATAGATTTATGGAGCTAATCATCTGAAGAAGTTCCATATCATTTAACTGTATTATAAAAAACAGAGGCCCGAGAACACTTCCCCGAGGAATTCCAAGGTCTACAGAAATGTTAGAGATAGAAGAACCGATGGCTTCTGTCGCTTAAATAGCTCTATCCATTTAAAAACAGTGCCGCCAACTCCATATTATTTCAACCTATTCATCAATATTTGTCTATCTATTAGTGAAAGTGAAAGTGTACATGCTTCCAAATGTTTTTGAAAAGCGAGGGGTAGCATATTTTCTCAGGAGGCCAAATTCTAAAGAGCCCCAAAATTGTACAGAAGAGCATGCTAGATATGCAATTTTGAATTGTATGAGCCTGTCTGACTAACTTGAGCCATTTATTTTTTTGTTATATATGTTCGTAACTAACTTTTCTCTCAGATGGGCTAACTTCTGCCCAGCAAAGTCCTTTATGAACTAATGGCAGCGTTCCGTAGGAAGTGCAGAGTCAACCTATTTGGCGCCATTTTGTGACTCATGATTACTATAATTTATTCTCAATTACTGGAAATTTGCAATTGCAGATATCAGTAAAATTGTATCCTAAGTTAACCTGACTATAACTGAAGACTTCCCAGAATCACTGTCCGGGCCGCAGCCTACTACGAATCCTGGAAAAACGTCTGGTATCCCGTATTTCAACTGTTTTTAACGGTTTTTTTCGCGGTCTTCAGGCGCGGTATCTTCGGGCTCGCGGATTTTGACGATTTTATAGTAAAAACTTGTTGAGAATCAGCAAAAAATGATGCTGAGACTAGAATTTAGTGTTTGTGAGTGATTCTTCGTTTTTGTTCGGTGTTCATGCTCGGTCCTTTGGGGTTTCCGATTGTTTGTAAGTGATTGATTTTCGCATGTGAGAAGAACAATTAACGTTTATACCTAGTGAACTCCAAAATTTTTCTGGATACATGATGTGTAGGGGTGTCAGTTGGTGGGTAGGTGAGTACAAACGAATTTTAGATAAATGTGACTAGTTCAAATTATTAAATATGGTATATTATCAAACTTAAATGGAAAACTGTGTTTAATGCTTTGGATCCTTATTTTGTATGCGCATCTTACGTAGCGGGCGTTAGTCTGAGACATAGAAGCAGAAGCAGAAGCAAGTGCTGTTCAGTTCAGTGTTCATATGTACTCTCTGTCTTTCGGTCAGAAATAAATAATGATCCTAAAGAATCTCGGCAACCACTAATCAGTGGTAGGGACATTTATAATGCGTGTGACTTTCATTTGCCTAACACATAAACAAAATGACAGCCATATCTTACAGCATAATGATCACTCATTGCATATTAGCCAAACCTGAGAACAATGAATTATTTTAACAAATAACAGCAGACCATAGCATGCGGTGACCAAAAAATAAAAAATTCATTGTATAATGTAATTAATCTATTTTAGACGACATTTGATCACAGGGGTGTCCGCACAGTCACTTTCAGCGGGAGAGGAAAGGTAAAACAATTAATATGAATTCACTTTAGAACAAAAAATGGCGTTAAGTAGGTTAACTCTGCACTTCCCACGCAACGCCGTCACCAGTTCGTAAAGGATTGTGTTCTGCACAAGTTGAACCCTTGGCACCTTGGAATTTGGCACCCCACTTTGCAGCACCCTTGATTATTTTCAGAGTTCTGAACTATTTCCAAATAATTCTACAGTTCTCAGTTTCTGCAGTTTTTATTGTGAAATTTTTAACAAAGTTTTGGGAGTGCTAACTTCACGCCGCACCACTTTTATGTAAAACGTGAGTTCTGAGCTGTGGACTCACAAGGTAGTGAATATTTTACTAACCTGGCACATTTATCGCTATAAAAGTCGATAAGTACACGGCACTTCAGCGCAGTAGGCCTCACAGTTTCATGCAAATAATGATTTTTAATAATTTTCAAAAACTGAAATTGGGGTTGCTGTGAGACAAAATACACTTAACCCTTTCGGTACGGTTGCCGGATATACCCGACAGGAAGCAATATGGCCCTGCGGCCTGGTGACGGATATATCCGTTCAAGGTTATTTTGTTTAATGACACTTGTACCGTTTATTTCCGACTCTTTTGAAAATGTCGAGAGACTGCCGACGACTTTATCCGACGTATAACGCATTGTGGATGGCCTGCTGTCGGAATAACCCGTCAATGTCGGAAATATCCGACGGCAGTCGAGCATGGTAGCATGCCATGTACCGTAAGCTTCAGAAGCGTCAGTTCGTTCGATCATGTCAAACGAGGAGGCCAGTTCGTCTCAGAGCACTAAGCGGCCGAAAAGGCGTAAAGTAGATTGTAGCGGATATTGTGGTTTAACTGAGGAGGAAGTCAATAGTATTTTAAGTCTGGTAGATGAAGATATTTACTTGTCTGACGTTAGTGAAGAAGACCCCTTTCTCGATAGCGGAAGCGAATATTGTCCATCTTCTGAGGACTCTGAGAGCGATCTGGATGAATTGGAACCGGAAAATGAACAAGAAAATCAGCAGGAAGAGGTAGGAAACGTTGAAGATAATATTACTCACCCAACAGTTCTGGAAATAATTTGGACAAAAAATGAGTTTCTACCGAAAATACACGAATTTGACACGACCAATAGCGGTGTAAAAGACCAAAACCTCGACGAAAACTCAAAGGAAGTCGACTATTTTCTTAGTTTGTTCACAGAAAACATAGTGGATGTTATTTTGGATGAAACAAATAATTATGCACGCCAACAAAATGCAAAAAACTGGAAGCATTTAGAACGTTCCGAATTTTACGTTTTTCTGGCTTTGACGTTGCTTATGCCTCGCAATAAAAAAGTGAACTTGAAGGAATATTGGTCCCAAAACCACTTACTGCTTTCACCTGCATTTAGCAAACATATGTCAAGGGACAGGTATTTTCAATTACAAAGATATTTGCATTTCTCCAATAATGAAATCGCTCCACCTGGTAATAGATTGTTCAAAGTTGAGAACGTGCTAAATATATTGAAAGAAAATTTCCAGTCTCAATTCTATCCATTTCAAAATTTGGTTATAGATGAGAGTATGATTCTTTTTAAAGGAAGACTCAGTTTTAAACAGTATATCAAGACCAAGAAACATCGTTTTGGAATTAAACTCTACGTGTTGTGTGATTGCGAAACAGGAATTGTCTTAGACTTTATTATATATATATTGTGGAAAAGACACTAATATAAAAGCAGAAGACAAGAATAATCTTGGTACTACAGGGGCCGTTGTTGCAAAACTTTTAGAGCCATACCTCAACAAGGGACATTCTCTTTATACGGATAATTTTTACACCAGCCCTACACTTTCAACTTTTTTGTTACAACATAAAACAAACTCCTGTGGAACTGTAAGGCAAAATAGGAAACATATGCCAGTATTTGATAAAAAATTAAAACAAGGAGATACTGACTGGAGAAGTAGTGAAAATTTATTGGCAATAAAATGGAAAGATCGGCGGGATGTTGTGATGCTGACCAGTATGCATGAAAATAGAATGGTTACTTTGCCGAAAATAAATCGATCTACATATGAAAATGTAATAAAGCCGTTATGTGTTCTGGAATACAACCGTCAAATGGGGGCTGTCGACAGATCAGATATGATGCTGAGTAGCGTAGATTGCACTCGAAAATGTCTGAAATGGTAACATATAAGAAGTTATTTTTCCATTCGATTGACATAACATTGCTAAACGCACATGCAATGTTTTCCACAAGACATACTAAGAAGACTTCATTCGCCAATTTTCATCTAGCGGTTATTGCTCAACTTATAGAAAGGTAAAGATTTCTTTGTAGTTTTCGATCATATTTGCTAAATGCTTTTTTTTGCAGGTATGGCATAGTAAAATCTATACATTGCGATTTGGGCAATGCCAGGCTTCAGAATAGACACTTTCCGGTGTCAGTTCCACGAAAACCAGGCAGTACTAAGGTTGGATCCAGAAGATGTTGGGTTTGTTCCCATACAAAGCAGAAGCAAGCAAAAAGAAAAGAGTCCAGCTATATGTGCCCAGAATGTGACGTTGGATTATGCGTGGTCCCTTGCTACAAAATATATCACACAGAGGCTACTTTTTAATGTTTAATGTTCTAATGTTTAATGTGTTTATATTTTCTGTAACTTTATCTAATAAAATAATTGTTTTAATATAACTTGCTCATATTATTTCATAAAATGTGGGTAGTTTTCTTAGGTGACGGATATTTCCGACGGCAGGCCAATGACCAATGTAAAAGTCTCAGGCCGTAGGAATAAAAATGTTCAGTGACAAGCCGTACCGAAAGGGTTAACTAAGAAAACGTAAACAAATAACACCAACTCACTTGAGGCTGTACAAAAGCAAAAAGCGCGGCGTTATAGCACAGCCTCCCCCCCCCCCTTTGGATACATCTAGCATAATACTCAGTACAATTTCAAAAGCAGAACTCTGGGGTACCATTAGGAAAACTACCCTCGGCGTTACCCGCCGGAAGTTGGTACCCCTTTTTAAAACATTCTTGATTATTTTTGAGTTCTGAACTACCTTCGACTAGTTCTGAAGCGGTACGATAATAGTTCTGCAGTTTTGTTTGCGAAATTGTTAAAACAGTTTTGGGGGTGCTATCTTATTCTTTTTCGTCCGTATTCAGTACTATTTACACCAAACGCTGATAATTTTTTTCCATATAATTGCACTGACTGGGAAAATTTACATTAGAAAATTATAGTAGTACATCTGTGTTTTATTGATTACAAGGTAAGTCATTAGAACAGACCACAACAAAACATGACCCTATCTACAGATTTGGCGTTTACAGTTCCGTCAGGCTGTGTGCCACTTTGTCTATAATCAAATTCAAGCGAATAACCAAATGAAAATGGTACTTACCATTTTGGTTTGGTATTTACGGATCCGTTCAAGCGGGTGTGGTTATCAGTTTGGTTATAAGATCCGTGACGTCATGAATCAGCTGTTATATGTCATAGTTATCACCGTAAAATTGTGGTATTTACCCAACCCAGGAGTAGTTTTATATTTCTGGTTATTATTTAAAATGTGACAAGTTAGAATTTTGCTGGGTATTGGATATTTTTATTGACTTCAGCTTCATTTTTGGGAACTTGATACAGGCTGACTTCAGTTTTAGCATAAAGTAGAGCACCTTATTAGTTATAATCATTACTGATGTTGGATACACTTTAAATCTAGTTTCTATGCTTAACAAGTATCCTGTGTAGCCATATACCACAGGAATATTAAAATATGACCATATAAACTCACTGGATGATGTTCACCTGCATACGGATTGGTAATATCTTTTTTGATCGCTTTTTCCTATCATTTCTGCTAAATCAATAAATGTTTTCTTTGACATGCGGAAAGGTGTAGAGGATTGAAAGTTATCATAGCTACAAAGCCTTGGTTCCATCATTAAACATTTTTTATGAAAAAAAAAATTCTCCTATCAATATTATGAAAGGTTTCTTTTTTAAACTTTCCATACACCGTTGTAGACGAAAATGACCCGATTATTAAGTGATAATAAAAATAATCAGAAATTATATACGCGCTTTTCTAAAATAAACAACTTGCAACAAAACCGCGGTTAAGACCAAGGCGTTCAAGCGATTCGAGTAACTGACGTCATTAACCCGTGTGTCATCTTGAACCATATTCTAACCGCGGTACATAACATAGAAATTTTGGTTATTCGCTTGGATTTGATTTATATGGGATAAGGTAAATGTCACTAGATAATCAGCAGTTAATTGTTTTCATGCTTTGACGTGATTAAGTATAGTGAAACACACACACACATACACACACACACTGCTTGGCTGTCAGTCAAAGCCCGTCCAGTGATTAGCCAGGATATTTTTATCAATAGCGAGAGTGAGACATATAAGTTTGTCAGGTCAGGAGAAACTCGTTAACCAAGCATCCTAGAAAAGATTTCAAACAAAAGTTGTAGAGTTTTTAGGGGAAACTGATGATGGTGACCTTGACCGCGATTTTTAGGGTTATTTCAACGACAAGTGGATATTTTCAAATGGAACTCTGCCGCCCTTTCTACAACGAAAAGTTTGACTTACAAATAACATATAAGCTTGACATGACATTGGCTTTGGGATCAAGGACACGTTTGGACGTGAAATTTCCTGCTTTTTCCAGTTCCAGTATAAAAAAGAGGCGTTGCCTATGAAAAATTTTACCTCACCTTCAAGGTAATGGTCAAGGTCAGCTCCGGGTGAACCCCACAAACCTCATAACAGCGATGTCGAATATCTTTGCTAGAGCAAATTGTTTCCAATGTTCTGGTATGGTCAATTTCCTCCTCTATTCAGTTCCGTTGTAAAACTTATCATTATCATTTTGCCAACAATTTTCGTTTGGAACTTTTTTTAGTAGGTTGTTATTTTCAAAATATTTAAGTGGGGCGATTAAAATATGACATCCTGTGTAATAATAGCATCCTTTGAAATACAGACTCAACTCTCTTAGCGCCATTTTTTAGTTTTGTGTTCCTACCTTGATCAGTTCCTTCAGTCTATCGGAAATAAAAACGAAACCATCTTCGTTGTAATATCCGATATCTCCTGTTCTCAACCAGCCGTCCAAGAACACGTTTGCTGTTTCCTCTGGTCTGTTGTGGTATCCCTTCATCACTTGTGGACCTTTCACCAGTATTTCACCCGTTTCATTAACTCCCAAAGGAGTAGCTGCAACAAACGACAATTATTATGTTTATACTCAAAAAACCTGATGAAATTCGTAGATTTCTCCATGGAACTAAGAGATGCATAAAAAATATGCAGACTGATATCAAAGTCACTGATACGAGTATGTGTAGTAATATTCGCAAGGAGCGAAGTGCGTAGTGGGGGAAACTAAGTCGATCGCCGCGCTTGCCGAGGACAAAAAGGGAAACATCGTCGGCCTGGTAGTGGAATATAAATATAAGAGTGTTCTCTATAGCAAATCTGTGTTACATATTGTCAACTGAGGGCTGGCAATGATGCAAATATTTCGCTGTCATTATTTGCCAGATCAAAAGAGAATTGTCACTTTGAAATTAAAATTGTCCCTAACCTAAAATCGACTAAATATCTGTATTTTCATTGATATGCGCAAGGATTTTACGTATCTTCAAACGTGACATTATTTTTTGACATTATATAGTTTTTTTGACATTATATAGGTTTTTCGTAACATTATGTAGTTCTACAAGAAAGAAACGGCAGGGGATAGGTGCATAGCATACTCAATAATAATTTTCTCACATAGCAAACATCACTGACTTTATAAACACGGAGACGAATATACACAATCATCCAGATGCGATCTCGCTATTCAACTAATTTTCTTTCTCCTCAGAGATACATACTCTACAAATTTTCTTGGCATTCTGCAACCAACAAAGCACGCTGGCATGAGTAATTTCTCCATAGATGGCGCCCTTCCGACATTTTCAGGTGCTACTTTCATGTTAAAATGCGTTAATTTCATCACCATAAATTTCTGCTGGTTGACTTGTTCAAAAAACATGGTGGGAGTAGGTACCTTTTTGAGTACGACTTTAAGGTATCTGTATACGTACTGTTAGTTTAAAAATGGTGGAACACCTGGAATGGGTAGGTGTCAAAAAATAATGTTTTTTTTAATGTCAATTTTTTTTTCAACAGCCTGTTTGGAGGAGTATTCTCAATACTTTTTTGATTGTTTCATGGTGTGTATCGAGATGACTGACAGGCACTGTTATCTAGTTCTTTTTTGTCAAAAAATGCATTTTTGTGAATCTTTTCTTCAATCGTAACCGTAACAAATAATGGTACAGGTCTAAAATTGTTTGTGAATATTCCACTTTGACGAAAGAATGAACCGGGTGATAACTTGTTTTCTATATATATATATATATATATACAGGGTGACTTTGAAGTTGAGTCATTAATTTTCAGATAATGATTGTAGAAGGAAGATAAACCAAAATATGTGTGTAAAAATAAAAAAAAAATAAAAAAAAATTTTTACCTTGTTTTATAAAGTATCCTCCCGACAAGTATTTCAGTGCGGACCTGTATTTGATCGTGAGGTCCACTGTGAGGTCTGAAGTCACCTGATTCACGAGCCCGTTGTACTACTATTAACAAAGGCACGAGGGGTTGGTTGCACTCGATTGGGAAACCGATCCGCATAAACATGTGCCATTTTTTATTTCGTTTGAGCCACGCAACAGACACTTCACACGCGACTGACACTGATTGTATGTATAACTGAACTGAATAAAGTAAACATCGTTCCAAATTATTTCGCTTTTTTGTTTCCGATGCGATGAACCGATAAGGTGGATTATATCCGTTGTTGCCAAAGACGAGCACATGATGTTATTGAGACAGGGCGGTACTCAAACTTCCAAAGGGCTATAACTTTGTTACTTTAATTTTACCAGAAAAATGGTAAAGGAAAAAAACATTTCTTTTGATCAGATCTACTCACTGTTAAAATAAATGACTCAACTTCGAAGTCACCCTGTATAAAGAAAATTATCGTGCGGAGAAAGGTATATAACAAAAAGTAGGAAAATAATGGGTAAAATCCGCAATTCTTTTTGATAATTTTTAACATAGACCATTTTATTTGTATTTAATCAGGAAGTTTACTTTCGAAACACATTTAGAATCATGGTCAATAAAGTGAAGTACAGCACTGTCGAAAATTTTCGATTATTTGAAAAAATGACCATGTTACACTAACCAAAAGTTTCTTATTTAGAGAATCCTTAGCGCACGAGGGCGGTGGGCTACAGCACCCAACACGAAAAATGTCATGACATCTTTAAATGTCAAGTTATCCGAATAATTCTTTCAGATTTGTCAAAGATACCTGTTATATGAGGCGTGTAAATTAAGTGATGAGCCTGATTTTTCTATTTGTTTGTTCTAATATAACTACAATTTTATATACTAAGTGACATATAAATCCGAACACCCAGTTTAAATGGTTTTATTTTAATAAAACTTTGTTTAAGTACTTAATGAAGCATAATAAGTAAATGATAAAAATTTCAAAATGATTGCACTGCTTTAAAGCCCTTTGACCTTTAATAATGTGTGGATGCACCCTGATGTGCTACGCATTCTCCAACGCGCCTAGGCATGCTTCTGATCAGGTGGTCAATATCCTCCTGTGGTATCTCATTCCAGGCAACCACCAACTCCTCTCGAAGTGCTTCTAGAGTCTGAGGAGGACGTTGCAAATTGAGCAATCTCCTACCCATCATATCCCACACGTGCTCAATTGGGGATAAGTCGGGAGATCTTGGTGGCCATGGTAACAGTATAACATCATTATGTTGAAGGAAGCCTGTTATGACTCTTGCAACATGTGGTCGGGCATTATCTTGTTGGAAAGTTGGATCTGCCAGGGTGTCAAGATAGGGTAAAAGATGGGGTTCTAGAACTTCGTGGATATAACGCTGCGCATTCATGTTACCTCTGATGAAGATTAAAGGTGACCTGGAACCATAAGCTATAGCACCCCAAACCATAACTCCGACAGTGTGATGAACATGTCTTTCAACAAAAAACTGTGGATTCCTCCTTTCACCACGTCGCCTTCTAACCCTGGCACGACAATCGTGCATGCCTAAACAAAATCGAGACTCGTCACTAAAGACAATACTGTTCATTTCCTGATCCCAGTGTGACCGTTGTCTGCACCACTCAAGGCGATTACGTCGGTGTTCTCGAGTTGAAGGGAGGACCCAGTGTGGCCGGTATGAAAACAAGCCAAAACTTCTCATTCGTCGGTAAACACTTCGCATGCCAATAGGTCTTCCGTGTTCTGCAAACCATTCATTTGCAATGGACCTGGTAGTGGAGAAACGGTCCCTTAGGGCCAATAATCTTAGGCGGCGATCTTCACGGTCTGTTGTTCTACGGCGGCGTCCAGTGCCCCTTGCTCTTTGCGTACGGCCTTCTCGAAGCCATGCCTGACAACACCTAACCACAGTGTCTACACTTCTTTGCACTCTAACTGCAATTGCCCGAAAAGAAAGTCCAGCTTCCCGAAGTCCCACTATACGGCCCCTATCAAACTCACTAAGTTGACGAAATCGTACAGGTCTCCGTACTCTAGGCATCGTAACCGATCGTAAAGGATGTCAAGAACCAAAATCCGCCAACGTTGATTCTTTACTGCGGCTGAAATATTCATTTTTAGAGCGTTAGTGAATTAAAAAAAAGGAGTATAAAAACCGGAATGTCCAACTGATAAGGCTGAAAACTTTTTCACTTGTTATTTACAGTAAGATAAATACATTCACCGACTTTTATTAAAATAAAACCATTTAAACTGGGTGTTCGGATTTATATGTCACTTAGTATATTTTCACTCTCAAAATAGCTTCCTTCTGAAGCCACAGAACGCTGGAGACGGTTCTTCCATCCCTCATAGCAGTGCTGGAACGCCCATACTGGAATAGCCGTCAGCTGGTTGGTTACAGCCGTTTGAGTGTTTTCCACTGTCCTAAAATGAGTTCCCGTGATTTTTGAACTTCGTGAAGAGGAAAAAGTCACAAGGACCCAAGTTTGGCGAATAAGTAGCCACAGTAAAGTTTTTACTGGTCGAACACTCGTTTATTCACATTGCAACACTCGGTTGTTCTTGATCTGATGAACGGTGGTGTGAGTAAAATTTACCTTTTCCCCGTTCATTTTAACTGACAATTTGAACGCATAAGAACGATTCTGTCGATATTTTCATAGGTTCTTGAAGATGAAGGTCTTCTGCTTCGTGGTTCATCTTCAGTCGACACTCTCCCTTCTGGAAATGCCCTAAACCGCCGAAAAACTCATGACAAAATACTATCTCCTTAGGTCTGTTGAAGCTTAGCAAGAGTTTCCGTTGCACTGTGCCCAAGTCTGACATAAAACTTGATAGCACACCGTTGCTCGAAATCGATGTCCTTTTTGGAAAACAATAGATAAAACTGTTTCTCAACGCTTTACAGACTTCGTACAAGTGAAACTAGCAGCATTTTCGTGTAAAGGAAACTTTCTAATTCTAATAAGCTGATCTTAAAACCCTACAGATTGATCTGGGTAATTTAAAGCAACCAAATATTATTTAAATTCTGAAATTTGTGTTGGATAATGGAGCATATTAGTAATAATTGATAGTATAAACATCTAAATGGTAAATTTATACATTGATTTGGAAATATTTGTTTTGGCCAATTAGTACGCATAATGTTATTATATAGAAATTATGCCTCACTTATTAAACACTACAATGATTTAGTATGTGTTAATGTAGTGAAATATAGATACTAATTAGCATTCTAATAAACAAATTATTGTAAAATATAAAGTATAAATGTGAGGTATTAATGAAATTCTTTGTTGATCAAATAAAAAGTAATTTCTTTAAAACGTTACATAATAATTATTTTTTTCGCTACTGTCCCGAGAAATCGCTACTACTGACCGTAACGTCTTACTTAGAATTAGCATTTCTCTCTCTAAATGTAAATAATGAAAAGAAAGAAACACACAGGTTAATAATAATGCTATTTAAAATTGTATACTATTAATTTATTTATGTTAGTCCGACAACTTTATATTTGGAAATATTTTAGGACGATTGAGAAATAAGTTTAAGTACAGCTCTTCATTTAGTTCTCTTTCTTGAATGCCCCAGTAATCCACATAGTGTTTGAAAA